AGCGTCTCCGTGACATGCCAATGCACAAGGGTTCTGTTGATAGCCGGGGTTGGAGATACCTGTGGTTCCGTGATGGAAAAAGTCCTGTACGTGATGCGACGGGTGTTGAAAACCCGGCGCAGCTGCTCCATGTCCGTATACAAGCGTGTGGCTTCGGGCAATTATCATTGAATAACATCGGCTGCACGTATTTAATGAAGCAATCATTTAAGTTTTTAACGTCTGCTTTAGAACATAAGCGGCGGCTTCATACTAGTCGTACTGGTCATTTTAGACCTGCGGTCACGTTGAAACAATTTGTCTGGTATTTCATTTATGATAGAACTAGGTATCATTAAAAAAAAAAAAAAAAGACCATGTATACGCTCCGACCATTACACATCCATTCTGAAGGGTTTATAAGGTTGTGTATCGATGCATTAAAAAAGAGTCAGTCTGTTTGAAAAACAAAAATAATTTCCCCTCCCTAGATGTTGGCAACCTATTGTTGCAGTTCCAAATGGCATGCAACGCAGACAGAGCAACCGGAACTAGATGGAGAAATGCTGCCCCTTCGGACAATCTGAGGCAGCTCCCACTTCAGCTCCACTCGCTTAGCCTCTCTCTCTCTTCCTATCGCCAGCCTTTTCCTTTTGCAACCTCAAACCATGGCGTGCACTGTGGATGTGTGTTAAGGTTAAAGCTGGCTAGCTCCGACATGAAGCAATCATTTAAGTTTTTAACGTCTGCTTTAGAACATAAGCGGCGGCTTCATACTAGTCGTACTGGTCATTTTAGACCTGCGGTCACGTTGAAACAATTTGTCTGGTATTTCATTTATGATAGAACTAGGTATCATTAAAAAAATAAAAAAAAGACCATGTATACGCTCCGACCATTACACATCCATTCTGAAGGGTTTATAAGGTTGTGTATCGAGCCATAACCCACAGGGTCAACATTAGGCTACTCAAGTTTACGAACATTACGAAGAAACGGCTACAACGATTGACACAGCATACCAGCTAACTAAACACAAATTACAATAATAATGCCAATGGAAAATATGTAACATTTTAAGCCTATTATTAATTAATATTATTTATTATTGCTGCCGCCGCTGCTGCTGCTGCTATTATTAAAGTTGTGACAATTAATTGAGACGCCTACTTTGATTATTTGTGTTAGACTGCTAACAAACACACACAGAGAGAAAAGCTAAACACGCAAGCCTCTCTTGGCCCTCCTAAACCATACTAAAAAGTTGTAAATCTGCCGCCCTGACACAATAAAATTGCGCAATAGATGCCTCGTTATTTTACTAGACACATTAATGGCGTGTTGTTTATTTCAGCTTTGCTCATTTAAAGTCCTTCCCAAAATATGAGCATGTGGTTTTGTGTCGTTACTTGACAATTTTTACACTTCGTTGTTAAACGGGAAAGGCACACACAGGACATTTATAGACATCTCACAGTCTATAAAGATGCAGATTCTGGGTCATTGTCTCAGTTACAGGAACATAGCGATCATGGAGTAGGCCTATTTATTTTTTTGCAACGAAAAAAAAAAGTAATAAAACAGTAATTGGGTAAATAATGTTATTCAATTAAAAAAAACGAATGCGTTTTAGTTATTGATACAATTATTTTAATAATCGATATTATTATTGTTGTTATTAGATTTTGTTTTTATGGCAATAATTTATTTACGAATTTAAGTATGTTTCACACTGTTGTCTAAAAGGGACAATTAAACTAAAACTTAAAGGCCCTGATTAAAAATCAATGTCATCTTTAAAACATCAAATATGGGAGTGTTGTACGCTAGTCAAACAAGTGGCACAGACTAACATGCTTTCAAAAATAAAAACGGTATCCAAAATAAGTAAATAAATAAAAAGCATACCCTGCGACATTTGTAAACAAGATCTCGTATGAGACTAAATGTTACGATTTCCCAGCGCCTTCAATAAATTATGTCAGCTATATAGGCTACTGAAGCATTAAAACCGACACGGTGCTTTCTAAAAGCATCTTCGGATTTTGACAAAACAAAAGAAAGACGGAGGAGTGTGAAAGGCATCATAGCATCAACATTCGAGACATAAAAACTACATTAAAAAATAATAAAGCAAACAATTGTTTCAAGAATATGATAAAGATGGTGTGACTGTAAAGTTTATTACTTTAGCGTGTCGACATTTGTTTTTGTAAAGCCAAAATTGTGATTAATAACAGAGAAGGCCATTCTTTCAGCACTCTTCTTGTAGGGCACTCACATGCTTCAGCGGCCCAAAATGCGCTAACTGTGAGTCAATAGCGCCATCTAGTGTGCTTGGGGGTAACTTTTACAAATGATCATTGACTGGAGGCCAAGGCCACACAATTCGTACCGCAAAACAGTTATCCAAATAAATTAGGACAATGACAGAAAGCCTATTTGAATGCACCTTTATAGGAAACTTTGGACTGTGAAAACACATAAGACTTTTAGCAGTACCGAATACATGATTTAAAGGTTGCAGCACCAGTATGGACACTGTAAATTAGCTCTACAAGCATGTGTTAAATGAAAACTAAGCTTTTTCGGTTTAGCGTCGTTTAAAGTCTTGGAGTGACTTCTGAATGGATCTTGTGGTGTTGGTGGATTGCATTTGCCTCTAGTTCGCCCAAAGGACTAAATGGCTTTGCAGAGCTCTTTGAGAGGGTCCACCACCAACGCCCATTAAACCATAAAGTAATTTAGCCCAGACGTCTAGCCAGTTAGCCAGGTTGGCTTTGTTCGTCTGCATCCGAGACAAACAACACCAAGCTCCAACAGGGTTGTAAAACTAGCATTTTTGTTCTGGGGCGGAAACGTGGTCGATCGGGCTTTTTGAAATAGCCGCATCCTGTTCGTATTGTTAAGGCCCACAAAAAGGCAATTTCAACCCAGCATAAGGCTAGTGCTAAACATACGAACTTTAATTATATCTATTACACAGATGCTACTCGTATATAAATAAGAGCAAAATATTAACATCAGACGATTTTACAATTACGCATGTTGCAGTTGCCGTGGTGACTTGAAGAGTTTAGTCATAAATTAAAAAAAAAAAATAATCCACAGGTCTCTTTAAAATAATTTAAGTTCAAACACGCGAATCCTACATGGCCTTCAAACCTCTTTCATTTTACTAAGCCCTCGGTCTAATTAAAGCAAGCCATCGTTGTTGTAGTTAATGTTTTTGATTTATTTTGAATTTATTTATTTGCTCAAGGTTGTTGACATTTCTGTAAAACATCTATGTATTTTGTGGCTCTGACATATCGGTACCACCGATTTAAACAGCGGTATACTGGCTACTTTTTTTCCTTTGAAAAGTTGTCATATTAATTCACATAAAACTACAATTACAAACAACATTAATAATTATCTATTTATGTGTTGTATTTAAATGTCAAAATAAAATAAAATCGAATTTAAAATGAGGAAAAAGGGTTTCAGTGCTTGGAAACTGGCCTGCAATTAAATACCAAAATAAGTCAATAAATAAGGCACGGGAGTGAATGAGGCCTACCACAGGCGTTTCGGTATTTGATCTTTGTGGGATGTGCAAATTTGATATTTCGACGGTCACACTAACAACCTCTTTACAATGGCCTTGCCATCGTACACTTACTCCAACCTCGATACTTTCCACATGAGAACATTGTATGTGTAAGGCCAAACACTATGCTATAACTGGATAGCACACATTTAACTCGTTCTTGAAAACTGGAGTCAATATCGCCATCTAGTGTGCTTGGGGGTAACTTTTACAAATGATCATTGACTGGAGGCCAAGGCCACACAATTCGTACCGCAAAACATACAGTAATCCAAACAAATTAGGACAATTACAGAAAGCCTATTTGAAGGTACCTTTACAGGAAACTTTGGACTGTGAAAACACATAGCACTTTTAGCAGTACCAATACATGATTTAAAGGCTTACAGCACCAGTATGGATACTGTAAATTAGCTTTTCAAGCTTAAGTGAAAACTAAGCCTTTTCGGTTTAGCGTCGTTTAAAGACTTGGAGTGACTTCTGAACGCATCTTGTGGTGTTGGTGGATTGCTTTTGCCTCTTAGCCCAAAGGACTAAATGGCTTTGCAGAGCTCTTTGAGAGGGTCCACCACCAACGCCCATTAAACCATAAAGTAATTTAGCCCAGACGTCTAGCCAGTTAGCCAGGTTGGCTTTGTTCGTCTGTATCTGAGACAAACAACACCAAGCTCCAACAGGGTTGTAAAACTAGCATTTTTGTTCTGGGGCGGAAACGTGGTCGATCGGGCTTTTTGAAATAGCCGCATCCTGTTCGTATTGTTAAGGCCCACAAAAAGGCAATTTCAACCCAGCATAAGGCTAGTGCTAAACATACGAACTTTAATTATATCTATTACACAGATGCTACTCGTATATAAATAAGAGCAAAATATTAACATCAGACGATTTTACAATTACGCATGTTGCAGTTGCCGTGGTGACTTGAAGAGTTTAGTCATAAATTAAAAAAAAAAAAATAATCCACAGGTCTCTTTAAAATAATTTAAGTTCAAACACGCGAATCCTACATGGCCTTCAAACCTCTTTCATTTTACTAAGCCCTCGGTCTAATTAAAGCAAGCCATCGTTGTTGTAGTTAATGTTTTTGATTTATTTTGAATTTATTTATTTGCTCAAGGTTGTTGACATTTCTGTAAAACATCTATGTATTTTGTGGCTCTGACATATCGGTACCACCGATTTAAACAGCGGTATACTGGCTACTTTTTTTCCTTTGAAAAGTTGTCATATTAATTCACATAAAACTACAATTACAAACAACATTAATAATTATCTATTTATGTGTTGTATTTAAATGTCAAAATAAAATAAAATCGAATTTAAAATGAGGAAAAAGGGTTTCAGTGCTTGGAAACTGGCCTGCAATTAAATACCAAAATAAGTCAATAAATAAGGCACGGGAGTGAATGAGGCCTACCACAGGCGTTTCGGTATTTGATCTTTGTGGGATGTGCAAATTTGATATTTCGACGGTCACACTAACAACCTCTTTACAATGGCCTTGCCATCGTACACTTACTCCAACCTCGATACTTTCCACATGAGAACATTGTATGTGTAAGGCCAAACACTATGCTATAACTGGATAGCACACATTTAACTCGTTCTTGAAAACTGCATGCCTTCTGCGGTCAAATAAATGGAATGAGACACAAAAGTCATATTAACATGGTTGTATATATTTGGATATATCTACAATCTATGATGAAACTCATTTACAGTTTAAAGAATGTAAAATACACAAACAGGTACATCAGAAACAAACTAAGCACATCGACGCAAACACGTATATGTTTTTAACTACAGAATTGTTATTCTTTATAAAATATTCGGCTTTCAACCCTCCTACAAATAATGGAAGCATATAGAAAAGAAACAACCACGTAGAGAGCATAAATTAGGAATTTGAAAATAAAGTAGTTCAAGTATTTTCTCTCTGAAACCTCGGGGCAGCCTCTCTGCAGAGTCCACTTTTGTATTTGTGAGTAAAGAAATGTTATGTAAATCCAAACTACTTATAGTATTAATATGACTTACGTCAGGATGGTAAAATTACATTTACATTAAATCATACTTATATCATAACGTTTTGAAGGACATCCATATAGGATAGCTTTTTCGTTTTCTCTGTTCCTGTTATGGGCCGGAGGTGCAAATATTAAGACTCATAACGATACTAAATGATGATTTTCCTTCAGTCTTTTTCTGATGAGTGACTTTTGGTCTATTGTTCTTTACGGTCGTTTTTTTCTTTGTTCATTTTCTTCATCTTCATCCGTCGGTTCTGGAACCAGATTTTGACTTGTCGCTCCGTCAGATTCAGCACCCTTGCTACCTCATATCGCCGGTCTCTTGTGAGGTACATATTGAATAAAAATTCCTTTTCGAGTTCGAGTGTTTGATACTTGGTGTATGGACAACGCTTCTTTCGAGTTGAGCGCGCATGGATCCAGTTTGCCACAGGATTATCTGAAAAACAATGTATAAAAGTGTGATTAGGTGCTGCTGTAAACAAACACGCTATCCAAAATAGACAAATGTCGCATTTTTACTGGATTATAGATCCAAGTTTTTTCTTTCTTGCTTATGATAGCCGGACAGCCATGTGTATAAAGCTGTATATTTTTTTTCAATTGTAGCACCTAACAACACTTCTCATTTTTGATTAGTCTTCAATTAAATGTGCAGGCTTAATACGTGTAAATACCAGGTAATTTCATAGGAGGTCCCCCTATCTCTGTCTATTTCAAATAGCTTTGCAAACTCTTAGAAAGAAATGGCGCTGTAAACTGGTGAATGTACCTATTTGCTTTATAGGCCCATAAAAAAGCAAAGGCTTGTGACTCAAGCCTTCACAAGTCTACGCTCAGAGTTCTGCTATGCAGTGAATGCACTGTGAACATTCCACGCGCTGTTTTTAATGTAAATGCTATGTTTCATTTATATATAAAATATATTTAATTGAACAGTTCAAAACAACAGCTCCCGGTTTTTACATTTTTAATTTGACACTTCAGTAGTTATGTTGTAATACAGTCCACGACAAGTAGCCTATAATTCAAAAGCAATTTAGTATTTATAGGTTATAATAAAATAGATCACACTTGAAACCTAAAATTATCTATGTAAATACATAATTTGAAATGTTAATAGGCATCCCCGCATGTATTGCTACTGAGCCAAAGGCAGGCTAAATGTATAAATTTGCACATTAAATAAAGCACAGTAATATAAGAATATCGTACAAAAATTAATGATAATGATAATGGTACGGCTATTTGTAAACATCACATGCAACCTTCTTTGCCAGACTTGGCTTTTTAGGAGACCATTTTTATAGCTCACACCCGTTTTACAACCCAATCCTATGGCGTTTGTCATCAATGGATAGCCCCAAAGCAGACTTGAGTCGGCCGAGAACAGCACAGAGGATGAATGGGTATAGAACTTGGTTTTACGACGGACAACAACCAACCACCAAGCGAACGCAATAAACTGGGAAGCATCCCATTCTCGGTTGTAAACAAGAATAGCTCTAACTTACTTGGGTCTAATTCAGGCTTGTCGTCTTTGTGCTTCCCGGAAGACAAACTCTCCGTCTCAGGCGATGGTGTGTTCTGTTGCTTTTCTCGAATGTCGACGGCGGAGCAGTAGAGATAATCCGTGTAAGTGCGTCCGTTCGAGCCCAAACAGTCTCCAGCACGGGGATCCTGGAAGGTGTCGGGCTTCAGCCCGTAGTGCCTGCTATTCCCTGCGTATCCTGGAAAAGACACGGTGCCGGGGATAGGCTCCAGCCAAGAGCGAACGTACCTTGAGTCTGTGCCTAGGTGAGGTTGGTGAGTGTATGGATGGTAAACCACTGACGACTGGGAGTGAACAGGGGCCCACGAGGTAGTAAAGACTGGTGGTTTCGGGGCAAAGCTGCAAGACGGGTAATCCGCGCATTCCGGTACCAGGGGCGTCGGGCGTGAGCTGGAGGATATCGGACCAGTGGCTGTGAAACGACTCGCCAGAACATCCTCGCTCTCATGGTTGATCAAGGAATCCACATAATAATTACTTATGGGACCCGTAGCCGACATGGCGATGTTTCCCTTCTCTTTTACATGCATCCGATTATTATATGGAGTGTATGTGTACTTTTTTATCTGACCGTAGAACAATCAAGACAGGTAATTATTTCAGAAAGCTTCCCCAGCTGGGATTGGACGCCGATGGAACACGTGATTGCATTTACCCCCTGAAAAACTGCACAGCAGAACAATGCGCGCGTTCTCCTGGAACAGCAATGCACTTCGAGCTTGCAGTAGGTTGCTAAATACTAATGTTGTCTTTTTTTTTGCATCGAGCCTAAATATATGAAGATGGTGTGTTTCTAGTATATTGTGATGCAACTGATCCAGGTAAATAGTTATTTGTAGCCTTGCGAAGCAGCAGAGTGTGTGTGTTAACGGTCTTAAAAAGGGCACTATTTGTTGGTGTAATCAATCTCTGTCGAGAGAATGCTACTGTGCTGTGGCTAGCCTTGTGCGCATCCCTCACTGCACAATGTTATTTATTAAAACAATTAGAAAAAAGAAAATGTTGTATATTTCTTTCTCAGTTTCACTATTAATTCTATATAATTGGAAAGGACCCAATGGAATACTTTTGACAAATATACGGCTCTTGTGTTGTCTAGAGGGTTGCTTTTACGCACTGAAGTTCTGTTTTCCACGAGTTTCAAATAAATACAATTGGGATATCCCTCATAAAATGGAGTTTTAAACAAATCGGGGCGGTGGGAATAGTAAGACGCCTGAAAACGCACCACAACTGCGGCTATATTCGTCAAGTGGTCGTGCATGCTTTTATGTCCTTCAATAAATTTTTACGAGGACCATTTGATTGTTCATAAACGTGTCGTTAATAAAACTGCAGTTGAGTTCCTGATATAACATAAAACCAACACGCATGTGAAAGACGTCTCATCAAACCTTTGTCGAATATACTAGAAAACAGACGGGTGACTGTTCACATAGCTCTTTAAATTGTGAGATAACGCTAGGAAAAGGCGTTGTTAGCTTTATCAATTTTACTGCGATATTTTTGAAAAGGCATCTGCATAATACAATCTACACAAGTTTTGTAAATTCTTTGTACTTACCGTTCCTTTTCATTTTCTTTTCTTTTTGTTATGTAATTAGCCATTTTTGCGATTCTATCGAACTTAATTCCAGTTGTTGTAATACGACAAATAATCTTGTTAACTGAAAATAAAATTATATACTAAAACTAAACATAAAACTATGTGAAATATTTGTGAGTGTAAATGTTTAGTTTCGTTTGGTTTCTTCATTTCTCATCAAACCTTTGTCGAATATACTAGAAAACAGACGAGTGACTGTTCACATAGCTCTTTAAATTGTGAGATAAAGCTAGGAAAAGGCGTTGTTAGCTTTATCAATTTTACTGCGATATTTTTGAAAAGGCATCTGCATAATACAATCTACACAATTTTGTGAACTCGTTGTACTTACCGTTCCTTTTCATTTTCTTTTCTTTTTGTTATGTAATTAGCCATTTTATTCTATCGAACTTAATTCCAGTTGTTGTAATACGACAAATAATCTTGTTAACTGAAAATAAAATTATATACTAAAACTAAACATAAAACTATGTGAAATATTTGTGAGTGTAAATGTTTAGTTTCGTTTGGTTTCGTCATTTTGAATTATTAATACTGGCTCACACATAAACAGAAAAAAATATATACTACAAATCTATTAAATAGGCTACTTTAACGCCATGCCGTTGCGTAAAAATGACACCGCTTGAACATTTTTCAGTTAATATGTGACTCACTGTATTTTAGATTAAATTTTTTTTTTCTAAGCGTATTGCGACACTTGGAAATATGTTGATTTTGGTCTGCAGTCATTGTCAGTGTTAGGCCCACTATGAAACCGGCCACATGAGGTCAGGCTTTTTTTCCGTCCTGTTTTCTGTGGGAACACCAGACATTATCAAAATATAGACACACCAAATAACAATACGTGGGCAATTCGGACTCTTAATATTACCTTTGTGCGGCAAAAAGTTATTAAAACGGTTACAATGTTATATTAGTTAAATAGTTTACAGAGACACGACTCAAAGTAATTAGTGCCATTATGCCTCTCTTTTCAGTTGTAAAACAGCTTGTTACAGAGCTAATTAAAGTTTTTGAATCAGCAAAACAACTAAAAGCAAAAGGAAGCAAAGGACACTATATTTGTACTTTTATGCCGTTTCATTAACTCATTATGCGTTTTAAAGGAAGGCGTGGCAGCTTTTTGATTGTGGCCCGCTTGAACATTTTTCAGTTAATATGTGACTCACTGCATTTTAGATTAAAATTTTTTTTCTAAGCGTATTGCGACACTTGGAAATATGTTGATTTTGGTCTGCAGTCATTGTCAGTGTTAGGCCCACTATGAAACCGGCCACATGAGGTCAGGCTTTTTTTCCGTCCTGTTTTCTGTGGGAACACCAGACATTATCAAAATATAGACACACCAAATAACAATACGTGGGCAATTCGGACTCTTAATATTACCTTTGTGCGGCAAAAAGTTATTAAAACGGTTACAATGTTATATTAGTTAAATAGTTTACAGAGACACGACTCAAAGTAATTAGTGCCATTATGCCTCTCTTTTCAGTTGTAAAACAGCTTGTTACAGAGCTAATTAAAGTTTTTGAATCAGCAAAACAACTAAAAGCAAAAGGAAGCAAAGGACACTATATTTGTACTTTTATGCCGTTTCATTAACTCATTATGCGTTTTAAAGGAAGGCGTGGCAGCTTTTTGATTGTGGCGTGGATTTGATTTCTCCTTGTAATATACTGCGGAATCAATATAATTTAGATTCTCTGAACAAATGTGAAAACAAAATCTTCTCACAGTATAAATAATTGAAAGCTTTGGTGGGAGGCTGTGGCATATTCAGGGGATCAATGCATCTAATCAAATTGTTAGAATAACTGTGACATATACAGAACAAACATGTATAAAGTGGTTAATGTTACACATTCCTCAGCAACATCTGTGAATAACTGTAACACATATACAAAAACATAGGCTAAGTGCAGCTAAAGAGCCTTTATCTATGTTTTTCCGAGGGCGTGGTACCTTGATGCTAAAGTTGTTTCCATCGTCACTGTTTTTCACTTACGTTTATTTATTAATTGTAATTTTTTTCTTATTATTGTGTTCTAATGTTGTTAATGTTAACATGATACATGATGCAATTTGTTTGATGATATAATGTTGTTTTGAAATGAACGATTTTTTAGGAGAATAAAAATTTTGTTGACTCTTTTATGAGTGTCTTTGAAACTTCTTACTAAAATTGTAATCTTTGTCCAGCCTCATTTAACATTTCAGTTTTGTGTGCATTAAAATTAACTATAAAGAGATTCAAATTAATTCGGTGACTAACAAGGATATTTTTCACACCTGATGTAAATTTTATAGATAGAATACCAATTTTGTTACGCTCTGTCCCTCGAACAGGGGAGATATAATTTATAATTCGCTATGTGGTCGCATTCATTTATAGGATAACGATCTTGTGCTTAAACTGTACAAATCTGTGGAATATAGTATTCGCTGCAGTCTTGGCAGCTGTGCAGGGTGACTCAGGATAAAAATGAGACTGCGGTGCACACTGCACATTTACGAGTGCACTAGTGAGCTCACTGTTCTGTCCATCCCAAAATGTAGCTTTTAGAACATCACACGGTTTATACACATTAGTCTATAACATACTTTAAAAAAAAAATAAGATACAGAGACTTACATGTACGTATCATATCTAAAACACAGCACTTTCCTGTGTGGCTAAAATACAGCAAATTTCTTGTATATACTGTACAAGGAGCTGCTTATTCGCCCATGATTCCACTAATGCATTTCGTAGTCTCGTGTAACTATAATAAACAATGGAGTTTTATATTGTAGCTACACATACCTTTTTTCTTGTATTAGCATAATTGAATCCTTCAAATTGGTTTTAAATTGTCATTAAGAAACATCAGAGTACTTTCCATTCTGAGACAACAACAGCATGGCAGTATCATTGCTAATGCACTTTGATTTACTGGAATACATCAACATTAATCTCCAGCGTCTGTTATATAAAGTTAGGCTACTCTTTGATCGACGTCAGTATTCGCTTTAATACTGATGTTTATAGTAAAAAAACAAAAACAAAAACATCAGGTTAAAATGAATATTTTCTTCAATATTTTATTTTTTTCTTAATTTATTTCAAGCAATAGCATTTTTATTTATTTATTTATTTTTGCTTTGAAGTATAATGAGGAATGTTTACATCTTGCAGAATACCTAGACCCATTTTACTAGCGCCACTGCGCCTAAAAAGACAATACGGTGTTAAAAGACAGATGTGTATCAATCCAGAATATTGAACTCCAAAATCATTCCACAATTTCATTATGTTATGTGTTAAAAATATAAGGTCCTGTACTAGTACTACGTTTTATATTTTATTGTACCTTAAGAAAAATAGCTTTGAGTGTGCCATGGTCATCATGAACATAATAATGCTCTATACCGTTTCCTTTAATGCATTCTGCTGAATATATAGTAAATTAAAACAAACATTTCTGTTTTTAGCAAATTTGTAATGTTGATTTCATATCTTTGATTAAAAGTAACGATATAAATATGTTGTGTTTTTTAGTATTTTGTGCTTAGATGTCTTTGTAGCCTATTTATTTACGGAGAGAACAAAACAATTTCAGAGTTCAATTATATTGTTATAACAACTGGTAGACAGTCTCATATTACAGCATCATATTATTGCTTGTGGCCTTGGACGACATAAACAGAAATACAGCAACAGCGCAAAGGTTCAACCTTTCACACAAGTAAGCTGAATTAATATAGCCTAATCAGTTACTTGTCATATCCAAGTAAAGACACCAGCTAAGATAAAAAGCAGCACTGAACAGATAACAGAGTAAAAAACCTTTATAGCAAAGTAACTTGGTTTAGATAAGAAACCCTTTTCATTTAGGTCTAGCTGCAATCAAACGTAGTTCCATACAAATGCGTAAACTAAATTCAGTGTAAATGGAGAGATTATATAGCTACATAACAAAACGTGATTAATCTGAAAAGATTAATTCGTTTAAAATAACCACGTGTGCTAAAATTGACTTCAGGTTTGTTCACTAAAAATACAAAGTAAAATAGTGAAGCAAAAGAGCTGAAATTAAAGCACAACGTTAAAAAAAATCTTGCCAAATCTAAAGTCAAATTATCCTCATTCAAAGCCACTGAAAAATAACCGGCAATGATAATCTGTGTTAAATTCGCGTCCAGTGTCTGATAGTAAACATCTTTTCAAATGCTTACATATAAAGGTCTGCACCAAATAGGCCATTGCTAATGCTACTACAGATATGCCTAATGCGCCACACGTTTGGAAATAGTACTCTATACTTCCGAACGCAAGCAATCATTTCAACTTATTTTATATATATACTAAGCAGAAGAAGGTGTTTTGATGTCCACCAATCCTTAGGCTATTTAAAAGAATGAGCCATAATAAGGAACGGGCTAAGTTTGCCCCATGATGTTAACAGTCCTTTCTCCCTCTGAGAGTCTAAATTCTCTTTTACAGCCCGACACATAAAGGCGAGCAAAGGAGAAAAAGCTCCCGTCGCAAAACAGCTGAAGGGAGGGGTGGGGTTAAGAAAACAAGCATATATGGTGAAATCCAAAGACTACTCCCATGAAAAAAAGACAATTCGCTGATGAGGCCCTTTACAACAAACAACTTAACCAATAACATTACCTTAACTAAATTAGCTTATTATTTCCACATATTATACAGCTGATATGGCTTTAGAAGGTACTGTTGTCTCCTTACTACTGTACAGTGTATAATATAACATCATAGCACAAATTCCCGCTTA